GGTGACTAGCAGAATATGATAACTATTCTTTACAATGATCTTGTTCAAAAACTCGATAGTCGCAGCACATTTTGAGAGAACCATCGGCATTTTTCTGAAACAACACAGGAGCTCCATATGGTGATTTTCCAGGCACGATAATCCCACTTTCCAACATTTTTCCCAATTGTTTTTGAAGCTCTTCTAGCTTTGGCTGAGACATACGGCAGGGTACCCTGGCAGGAGGTTTGTCACCTGGAATAAGCTTAATCTCATGATCGATTACCGTCCTTTGTGCAATTTCTTTGGTAACTTATCAGGCACGATGTCCTCAAATTCCTTGATAAGCCTTCTGACCAGTTTTAGAATAGGACCAGTTGCCTCTTCGATCTCCTCTAATCGAAGAGTGCATAAAAATGAGGGTTCATTTCTTTTGAAACCCTTACAAAATTGCATGGTCGAGATATTCTTATCGTACATCTTCCCAGCTTGGGTAATGATGATGCACTGTTTACTACCCATCATCATTAATGAACCGAACTATGGTACATTGCTGTCTTAATATCCTGAAGAAACTCCAATCCCAAAATAAGTTTGAAATCATTCATCTGAACTGCAGACAAGTTTGTCCTTCCCTCGAAAGGACCTACTTTGAGCAACACAGATTTCGCTACTCCAGCTATTGGTTGAGTAGCAGAGTTGATTGTTTTGACCTTTTCACTACCTTTTTGCAGAATAAGTCTGAGTCACTGCACTTCGATACTTGCGATGTAGTTTTTGGTAGTACCGGTATTTACCATAACCTTGATTGGCCTTCCATTGATCTTCACATCAATGTACATTAGACATTTGTCTCTACAAATACGAGTCTTTGATTCTTTCATCTTTACCTATTTCGAGGGAACATCATCTTTCTTAGTAGCTCGGAGCGATAGTGTATTGCATCGATATGAGAATGTGCGAACTACATACTCATCCTTTTCGGAGTCGGTCTTACCGTGACAACTAGCTTGTGGGATATCTTGCTTTAAACTTATTCCGCTGCCCGCTAGTTGACAATATGCATTGACCATTCATTTCTGAGGACATTCCGCCACCCGATGTGGTTCTTCACATAAAAAAGCACATCAATTTAGGAGTGACAACGAATCTACCTTCCGTTGCTTTTCTCTTATTCCAATTGTTACTACTGTTGCCATTATAGTTTCCTTGACAGTTGTTTTGATAGTTTCCCTGCATGTTAATTTGATGGGTGCCTTGATAGGCTCATCCTTTATTCTGAGAGTAACGCTTTTCCTATTTGAGTTAGAGTTGGGCGTGTAAGGTCTATTTTCACCTCCAATAGCTTGACTATTCCCTGAAGGTCGATCTTTTCTCTATCTGAAGTTCCATGCGTGTCCACGGTTTCAACCTTTCCATGAAGGTGAATAACTTATCCTTTGATGTCATGTTCCGAATATTCAGCATATGCCCTGAAAAGGCTTTCACATACTCTCTGATGGAGTTTGTATGTTTCGGTTCTTGTAGTACACGTTGTACCTGATATTCCACATTCTTTAAAAAAAACTGAGATCTGATTACTTCCTTGAAGAGATCCCAACATTCTATTCGGAATCTCTTGGCCTGAATATTAGTATACTTTATCCACCACCATAGTTTTGTATCTCCACCAAGATATATGGTAGTTGTTGTAACCTTTCTTGCTTCATCTTCGATCGAAGCTAAGCCGCAAGAAAGTATTGTTCCATATCAAGCAAGAAGTTCTCGACTTCTTTTACATCGCATGCCTCTCTGTAGGTAAGTTCTGAAATTTTGAGCTTAGGAACATGTTTTCGTTCGAGGGCTTGCTCATTTCCAACCGCACGTTGAAGAACTAGTAATTGAGTCTCAACATTTCTATTTCATCCGCAGATCAGGTAGTATAGCAACAGCTTCAGTCATTGCTGTACAAGCCCTTCGACTTTCATCCAGTTGGATGTGTAATTCACGAATTTCCGTCTTTGCCATCTTAACTTTTTCCTCGAGGCTATCCACGGTATAGCACAACCTAGTAGTTTTCATCTCAAGCGCATCTACACGTTGTTTCGTATTCATCTTCTGATGATCTATGACTTCTGTAGTGTTTGAATTAATTGGATCCATAGCTTCTTTATCGAGGGACGTGAGCTGCAGCTCTGATACCAACTTTCACGGGGTGCATTTCTTCTTAGCACAAAAATGGACACCGTACGGCAGTAGTCTGCTTAGTTAGACTACATTTTGCCTTCTCTTTGTCGTTTCGAGACGAAAGAAAATTTGATTACAATTTGTAGAAAGCTTGCAACATAAAATTGAGATGCATTGAAAATAAATTGATCATTGATTACTTGAAAACTAGAAATTACAATTGATGAAAATAGGAAATTATAATGACTGGTGCAGAGGGCGAACACCAGTAAGCTTGAAAGATTGTTTGAATGACTAATACCTCCTATAATAGCATTTGGAACAAAAATCTAAGTGATAGGAGTAGACGTTTATATGTTGAGGAATCATACTAAACGTTTACTAATATCAGAGCCATTTTACAATTGAAATAAACTATTACAATGGAAATGAAATTACAACTCAAACTTAAACTAATATTTATAATGTGGGGTCGAAATTGGGCAAACTGCGATTACAATTAGGTCAAGCGGTAGTTAAAACTGCGGCCCTTGACACTATTACATGTTACATTTATATAAAGCCTTGATAAACTAATGTCATAGGAAATGGGACACAATCCATTATTAATCACCAATGATGAAAACTCGACCTAATACTTGAAACATCACGATCTTAGGTTCAATGAGTAAAGTACATAAAATAGTTGATTGCAAGCATTATTCATTTTTCCGGATATAAGTGTACTTGATACACGTAACAATAAGGGAAATGATAAGCTACTTAATTTTTAATTAACACATAGAACTTCTATGGAATATTTTACTTATTTAAGTATTCTTGATAACTCTCTCTATACGAGTGTCAAAGACGACGATGACGTTTTCAAAGTAACATGTCTAGCTATTTAAGAAATTTATGAAAAATTCAAAATAATTGACACATGGCCTATTCCCGTGTTATTTTTTATAAATACACGAGGATTTTCAAGTTTGTATATAAAGTACTTTCTTTTAGCCATATAGAGTTGTTGGTTTAAAGTCAAGCTACCATGGCACCTTTGGTTAGCATTAAAAATATTGTCAGTAAGTGAAAGTTCAAATCCAAAAGACATCTTCATCTATTGGTGAAGTCTATATTGAAAATTTTTAAAACTTGCATTCATTTTGAAAATATTGTTGGATAATTTTCAAAAGAAGCCCATGTTTTGGCCAATTGGCCTCTTTCTCTTCTTATCAACCATACATTTTCTCAATAAAATAATATTATGGGGGTGTTTATTTTTTATTCTCAAATTCTACGGTAAATCAATTCTCATTTTCAATCACATATTCTTCAATAAAATTATTTTCCATCACATCAATAATTTTTTCTTCTTTTTCAACCACATTTTTCCCATCATATCACTATTCAAAAATCAATTCTTTCCTTAAAAATCCATACCAAACAAGCTCTATATAAATTCGAAATTCTCTTTACTTTTTATAGCTTGTTTGGGGGGATTAAAATCAGATTAAAATTGAAAAATTAGCTGTTGGAGTAGGCTTTTATTAGACGAATGAGACCCAATAACAACTATATTTTCAATTTTAATTGGATTTTAATCCGTCCCAAACAAGCTCTTAAAGTAGATTTTTAAGAGCTTGTTTGGAATGGATTTTAATCCAATTAAAATTAAAAATATAGCTGTTATTGGATCCCACCCGTCTAATACAAGTCAATAATAACAACTAGTTTTTCAATTTTAATCTCTCCCAAACAAGCTCTAAAAGAAACACTATTCCAAAATCAATTTTCATTTCCTAATGGAGCACAAACAAGGCAAAATATCACTTTTGACATTGAGGCAAGGGACATTACGCGAGTCACGAAGCATGCGGGGAAGTTCAAAATTGCGAAGGACGAACAGGGGTCTTCCAAAGCCCCGGCATACTTGCCAGAAGTTACCCATTGCTTTTAGGCGACCAGGGCACGGAAAGCAGGTGATCTGCTTGCCTTCCAAGCGGCCGCCAAATAGCTTGGGGCGACAGCCCAATAGCAAAGGGCGGTCGACCCCTCTTCTATTCAAAACAGGTGCTCTTATTCACGATTTTTTTCGGTTTTTTAGCCCATTTTCACCCAAATTTTGGTTATGTAACTTATAATTCAAAAGGTTGTGACTCATATGAAGTGTTGTAATTCTTGGGAAGAGTTGGGAACAAATATGTTTATAGAATTAAAGGTTCTTCAGTAGAAAATGATGAAAAATACAGGATGTTGAAAGTTCAGTTTATCCATTGTTATCTTCTCCATTTTTCTTGAGACTTCTTGCATTAAAACCAATTTATGTGCATTTATTTTTCTTAGATATTGCTTGTCCTTCACCACACTAGAGATATAGTATGATCTTTGAGTATATATTTCGTTATTCTTTGGTGTTAGGGTTGTCTTCGTGGGTGCAAAACGCATCATACACGTATTTAGGGCTTACATTGTATCTTGGAGGTGTATTTTCATTCTCCAGTGCATCATGGTTTAGTAGGGGCAAACAATGTCTTAAGGAAAGCAATATTCATATCATGCCTTGAAACCGATTGTGATTTATTTCGGGTCTCTACAATTTTCTAACCCTTACTTTGTTTACGTATATTTGCAAGTCCGCTTTGGAGGATTCCTCCAACATTGCAGAGGGAGGATTTTCATTGCAATTGTCGTCTATTTCGTTGGATCTAAACACGCCTGCACATCCATGGGCACGGGCACCTGCACACTTGGACAATCACATAGGTACACAGAGAAAAGTTCCTTTAAAGATTATTATTCATTAGAATCTCAAGGCTGATAATTTATTCACTAGAACATTACCGGCTCAACTTCTCTATGTAAAAGAGAAGTAATCAATTGTGTGACTTTGATCTTACAACTTCTTCTTTCATGGCAAGGGATAGAGCATTAAGACTACCACCATCTTCTACTATAACTCCAGGCATAGCAACAGCTCTACTCCCTACAAATCCACCTTCTCCAACTTTAATCTTCCCAAACTTGACTTTCCCTCCTTCTCCCTCATATATGTGTCCAAAAAGCAAAGCTTCTCTCCCTACGCATCCACCTTTCTCTATCTCTACCATTTCAGGATTCAAGACAGCTCCCATACTATCTACATAAACACCTTCACTTAAGTTAACATTCGAACCCATAAGTTTCATCCAAAGCACGAAGAAAATTGATCCGCCGGTCATATCCATGAAATAGTCCCCTACCAAGGTCTTGAATGCTTGCCATACTGTATCCATAAAAATTGATTTGCTCCAGATAAGTGCTGTTCCACCATCTTTCTTCTTTCCAACCAAAATCCATTTTGCTACAACACAAGCCAGTGCAGCCCATATGCCTGAAGAAACCCAAAAGAAAGGAAGCAACAACTGCAGTGGATATTTCATGGTCTCCTTAGCAGATAGTATCCAATTTAGAGGACCACAAATTACATATGCCATGAGAAAGTAGGGCAAAAATGTCTGAAGCAAGGGTTGCACGAAGATGGCCCATGAAGTTTGAAACCAAGTCCTTGCAAGAGTCACTTCACTAGAATTGCCTCTCTGCAACATTGCTGCAACCGGACAGCTTGAGAGGTCTACTTTGACATCTGATTGCTCTATGAATGCTCTCCAGGCCTGTGGAAGTGGCTCGTTATTTCTCAAATGCTGGCAAATCTCATAGATCAATGAACGGCCATGGTCAATTGAAGCACTTTGGGAGGCTGATGTTGCCCGTATAACATCAACCTCATGGCATTGAAGAAAGGGATTAAATTCCAGCTCCTCTGATTGTTCTTTCGTCAGGTTCTGATTGATGGTTATCTCCCCAACATCTACAAATGGGAACTCAGCCTCATCCCAGGGTTTGGTGCAATCAAGTGCAACATCTTGTGTGGCTTCATCATGAGGTACAGGCCGGAACTGAAGCTGGAAAACATATCGAACCCCGCCAGGGGAACTCACGCGCGTCTGAAAATCTTTGGCAAGGAAAAGTAGAGGACGTGTGTCGTTATTGTCCCTTGGAATTGCACCTGTTTCTGGAGGAAGGATCCCAATGGGCTCAACCTTACCAGAATCTTCGCTAATTGTCTCATCAGAAGGTCGCAGCTTGAATTTCACATACATCTCCTGTCCATCAGCGAATCTAAAGAGTCTGCATATATTTGAATAATAATGAAGTTTGGCAAAGGAGTTTGCATGGCGAAGGGACATCCACACTGCATCTCGGATATGAGGGGCACGCTTCACATGTTCTTCTCTTGCTGGTAGGCCGCACACAAGCCATGATGCAAAATCAGAAATTGTTCGGGCATAAAATGCATTGCCTGTTTTCAGAGTCAAGTCCAGGAGTGGGGATTCATGATCTGATTTATGGGAAAATATTCTTATGGCTGCTCCACGAGCATCAATCCTTGCATCATCATCAGCACTCAAGCTGTTGCTGTGCCGAACTATAACAGGGTAACTCTTCCCAGGATGGAAAATATTGTGATCAGGAAACCCTTCAATGTTGTCATATATTTTAAGTACTCCCTTTCCACTTACTCCAATTCGATGGAAATATCTTGATCTAACCTTAAGAGTTGTTGCAGCCAAATTCGCAGCCAGATTTCCAACAATCTTCTTATATTTAGTGTCCATTTCTTCTATGCGCTCATCCAACTCATGCATTGTGTTCTTTATCATGATAGGACTTTGAGATCCAATATAGACACCACCACTTTGGAGCACTGAATTGACTGGAGCAACTGAAAGTGCACCAATAATTACATCCTCCTGAATAATAGAACCAGGGAGGACTAGACTCTGGCTCCCAAGTACTACATTATCCCGTACCTCAACTTTTTCGCTTCTGAAACCATCGGAGGAATAGAAACCAGTGATAATCCTGCTGAAGTCACCTAAATGGACACCATTACCAATTGATACCAGTTTGGGTTCTAAAACAGGGTTAATGGCTCTAATGGAACAAAACTTTCCGACTTTGGCACCCAGGAGCCTCAGGTATATGCAAAACGCTTCTGTTCCTGAAAGGAGCTTTGTAAATCTAAGATGGCATGATATGTTAATTCTGTGACAAAGCCACATTCTCAAGTATGTTTGTTTTGTTCCTTGATTTCCGGACATGGAATGGTTCATCAAGCAGGTAATCAAACTGAGTATCAAGCCATGAGCTAAGTATGCAGTGGCAACTGACATAGAAAAGCTCAATGGACTCAAAGATGTGGATCCAATCATGGTGACATATGCAAAGATAGTGAAAGGGAACCAGTGGAAAGCTCCAAATACACACAAAAAAGCGAAGTGTTCAATCGTAGGAGACTTATGAGTCAGCAGGATATATATGCTGTAAAAGATGGCTGCCGAGAGACTGCTTATGAATCCAACAAGATAGACACCCATGAGATGGTGAATAGCCTGATATTGAGTGTCATCTCTCACTTTCGGAAGTTCCATAACCTGCCACCCACAGCAGAATAAATTAACTGGTAATCAATTTCAATCTTAAGATTGTTAAACTATTTTTCGTACAGAGAACATTTGATAGCGTTCAATTTTACATCACGAGCAACATGTAACATTCTGTTGATACGATGATTATCACAGCTAAGTAACTGAGGATTTGATGTCTATAAATGGAAAAAAGACAAGAAAAGAAAATTTTGTCATATTTTCAGAAGCATGGCTATCTTTCAGTTAACTATGGCATGATTAAGACAGTGCCTGGAATTATGTAACAAAAAAGACAAAAGTTGATCTGAACTTCAACACGACTATCAATTCTTGATTTGGGCCCTTACCTGACAACTTGTAGGGGTATTGCCCACTTCTTACACAGTAGTGTTTATCTGATTGTAAGTATGCTCTTTAATTGGTGCAACACAACATGAAATGAATTACTTTAAATTTTCATTTTCTTCTGCTAAGCAAGAACAATCCAACTCACATTTCCCCATCCATAATCAAATGTTGCTTTAAATTATTTTAGAATTTTTTCATTGCTAATAGGATAAATTGTGCACCCGGATGAAAAAAGACCGAAGGTGAGTTGTTTGAAGAGGTTATTTTGTAATCATTGGTAGAAGAAATACATTGTGGTGTATGTATTTGTGTGTGTATTTGATATGGATCTAGACATTTAAATTCTTAGAATAAAGGATATCTTTAATGACTAGGTATTTCATATTTGAGATGGACAATTAGAGTTTACCTTTTGAATGTTATTAGCCTTGGATTTTGAAACAGGGTTTCCTTCTTCGGTGATTTGCAAGGCAGGTACTTCAGTTCCTTCTCCCAGCACACTTCCTCTTTGGATTACAGCATAAGGAGCAATTGAAGAACTTTTTCCAATTCTAATTGGATGGAAACTCAATATTCCATTCCTCATCTCATGGCCTTGGATTAATACTCCCTCTGCAATTACAACTCCATCTCCAATAGAAACTAGAGCTGGATCAGTGATATCAACAGTATCAAGTACAACAGATGATCCTATCTTAGCTCCTAATATCCGAAACCAGTATTTCAGTAACACTGTTCCTCTCAAATGCACGGCCAGAACTTTTGATGAAACCTCCTGAGCTTTGTATAGTGTCCACCACTTGATGTAATCCAACGACCATATGGAAATTTCTGGAATTAAGGCATAGTTCGGTTGAAGGAATGTATTCCCGAAAAGAGCAATACAACTGCATGTAGAAAATATGCAGAGGATCCATGCAAGAGGTGCAAATGCAAGGGAGAGCATGTAAGGCGCCCATTGAGTTCCATTTATCAAATTATGAGTGGCAGAAATCATCTTCAGAAATACAGATGTTGATAAATATACAGGAAGGATCAGCAAGATGGAGACATATATAAGAGCAAGAAATTGCAATGACATTATACCCAATTGGTGAGATAAGGGAACTTCAGTCAGTAACTCTGAAGAATTAACCTCAGGTTCTGGAAGAGACGCAGAATTTCTCGTGTGTTGTGGCTGAGATTTTGTGACAATATCTTCTGAGAAGCTAGCCAAATCTTCAATGCTGGTTGCTGTGAAAATATCGACTGCCCCAACTGGCACCCCAAGATAATCTGAAAGCTTTTGGGCTGCTCTGACCACCCCAATGGAATCGATGCCATAAGATGTGAGGTTTGCAGTTGTGGATATCTTACCGACAGGAATACCAGTTTGCTCAGAGATAAGTCCCTTTAAAAACTCCACAATTTCTCTGCTACCTAATTTTGTACCTAGTGAAGGTAGATTCATCTTCAGATGCTTTCGAGGCGTATGACCATCCCTACATGTTCCTGTAGTATTTGACCGTAAAAGTAATCTCTTTGGGATCTTTGGTTCTGGTACCAAATTCAGTGTCCCATCAGTGAATTGTTTGAGGCATTCGAACCTTTTGATTTTTCCAGATGTTGTCTTGCTGATAGTTCTTGGTTTAATCAACTTAACAGCAGCCAAATTCACACCGTGTTCTTCTGCAACCGTGGCCTTTATTTTCTCAAAATCGTCTTTACTTGCTGGTTTACCATCTCTAGTTTCTGCAATCACTACCAACCCCACCTGATCAGACGTATCTGATATTGGTATCCCTTTTGTTGATAATATATCCTCAGGAACCGCAATGACAGCACAGCAACCAGGGCGCAGCAGTTCACACGAGCTCTCAACAGTCTTCTCTACATCAGCCGAATAGATATTTCTCCCTGCAACTATTATAAGATCCTTGATTCTTCCCGTAATGAACAAATTCCCGTTAATTGTTCGTCCTAGGTCACCAGTTCTTGTGTACCTTTTACTGGGATGACTCTCAAGCTTATTCCTAAAAGTTCTTTCACTGAGTTCCTCCCTGCCCCAGTACCCAATTCCTGCACTTGGACTGCTGATCCATATTTCTCCTTCCTTTCCAGATTCCTTCTGCTCTTCACCAGTTTCTGGATCCACTATTCTAATGTCCACATCTGTATCATTTGAATTTACATACCCACAACATACCCTTCCTTGCCAATCCACCACAATAGGTTTTCCTTCCCCATAAGCGCAACTGACAAACACACAGTTTTCTGCCAATCCATAGCCAGGAGCCATCACGTATTGGGAAAGGCCGTAAGGACTTGTTAGCTCAATGAATCTTTTTAGAGTTTTCTGCCTTACTGGTTCAGCAGCAATCATTAGAAAAATCATGGAGGAAAGGTCATAGTTCCGAATCTTATTCTTGTCAACCTCCAACCTTCGTACCACAAGTTCAAACGAGAAGTTGGGACCTGCACTATGAGTTCCCCTGTACTTGCTGATGGTTTCAAGCCACAGGATAGGGTTCTTGATGAATGTCATTGGGGAGAACAAGATAGCAGTTCCACCACTAACCAGAGCTGTGAAAAGCCCACCAATCAGTCCCATGTCATGGTACTGGGGGAGCCAGCTGATAAGTACTGTGTTTGACGTGCTATGATATCTCCTTTGCATTAGCTTCACATTATGAATTAGGCCACCATGAGTTATAACAACACCTTTTGCATCTCCAGTTGATCCTGATGTGAATTGAAGAAAGCATAGTTCATCAGCACGTGGCACTGAATTGCAGTCTATACTTACTGAAGGCACGTCTTTGGAGTTTTTCACCCAAGAATCAGTGTGTAACCAAGGAAGATTAGGCCAGCGACCCGAGCCCTTTCCATTTTTATTGGGCAACGATATCAAATTCTTCACGGAGCCTGCTCTAACAGCTAATTGATAACCTACAGTGGAGAGAATTGCCACTGCCTTGCATGATTTAGCAATATTCTCTATCTTCAAAAGTGCTTGTCCACCTCTTTGAAGTGGATCAGGGGGAAGAACTGGGACTGGCAATACTCTGGCTCTTAAACACCCAAAAAAGGCATCAATAAAATCCAGACCTGGGACATGAACAAGAAGGACCCTGTCGCCTATATTGATGACTGGCTTTCTGCTAGACAAGAGCTTTTCAGCAATGCAAGCAGCATTAGCATGAAGTTCTCCAAAAGTTCTTTGGCCCATCACTTCTCCTTCATCATTTATCCATCTATAAAGGATTTTGTTGCAACTGATGTTATGATTTCCCCAGTATTTCAAATAGCAATCAAGGCTGGATAGATCTGGAAATTCTAACCCCTTAGATTCATCAAGCTCTCTGGGGAGCTTATCCCGGCACTCTGACTTCAGTGTAAACAATCTCTACAGAAATGAAGGTCAAGTAAGTAAAGAAGCATTTATTCTGTAATCTGAGTTTGATCTTTAAGAATTGACATTATCAAGTACCTTTACATATGGAAACCTTGGAATTAATTCATCAGTCGCAAAGTGCTTGCAAACCAAACCCATAGCATATGATGAATTCCTCTCTGTAAGCTCAAATGCCATGAGTCCACCTATGTAGTAAGTATTCTGCTGGCCTTGAAGTTCAGTTTCTAGTTTCTCGTAGAACCCACCTTTCATATCTATATTAAAGTTGAATGAAATTAGCGTCTGTAAATATGGGAAGGTTAATTGATATGGGAAAAATAATATGTTACATTAGAAACGTAAATACATGTATTTATACAAGAGTTGGGAAGCTATCTTAGGAAACTAAATAAATTAGTATTTTACTCTAATTACATCTATAATAGGAAGCAAACAGAATCTCATCAAGATGTGGACTCTACCTTGGCTTTCAACATGAGGGAAATATTTGAATCTTTGTTGTAGAATTACCATTTCAACTTCTCCCCCCATTCTTTTCACTGCATCAAATGCTAGCTGAGTGACTTCTTGTCCTCTGATATTGGCTGAGTTTCCATATGACCAGAATAGGAAGATATTGGTATCAGAATAGAATTTCTGCAGAGCCACCGGATTTCCTATAGTTACAGGATCATCCATGAACTCCCCAAAGTAAAAGAACCCGACCGGCAGATGTTCCAGACCCTTAATCTTCATGACAGTTGTGTAGTAGTCAATAGTCTGCACTTTCTTAAATAATTCCTTTTCAAGTTCACTGAAATCCAGGATTTCATCTTCAGCATCTGTAAGATAAAAAAAAATTACTTTTTAGCTACTAAACACAATTTAAAGCAAGATGGAAGCAGCAAAATGCTTAAATCTCAGACCTTCTTCCATTAATGACGGTGATCTATATGTTCTCCCATTCTTGAAGGGAAATGATCCAGAAATAATGACTTTATCGAATTCCCGAGTTGTCAAGTTTCCATCATTCTGTTTGACTTTAATGTTGACACCTGATGAGTTGCGCCTGATTGCCACCACTTCTGTGTTGCAGAGGACTTCTATGGGGAGGGATTCACTAATTTTTTGCCACATACTCATGTATCCACCTTTGAAACGTCTAATTTTACCGGCCATGGATGTTCTGGTGAACTCATGAATGTAAGCGTATGGCATGTCTTGAACAAATCCATATCCAGAAGCTGTATATCCATAAGCTACAGATTTTGGAACAGATTTGAATCCATGATCCTCAAGAAATGCCGGTGTTGAATCAGAAGCTAAGTCACTTATGGCGTGAACTCCAATTCGACCTGACTTCTTTGCTTTATCCTGTGAACCAAACATTACGATTTTAACCACTAATCTCTCTGTGTGAACTGAGTGCTAAGAATAAGAGACAGATCATCTACTAACAGTAGAATAAACTGACCTGGAGATCTAAAGTGAGCGAGACTGCAGAAACATAGTCATCTGCAACCTTGATGTCCTCGTACGTCCCTGTAAAACTATCAATTAATGCGAGTTTGTGGGAATCCATTTCTTCCAATTCCGAGCCAGCTTCATTTGCCAAGTGAAAAATTGTGGGAGAGCTACTGGCTGCAAGGACTTGTCCACCAAGATCGTAAATCTTTCCTTCTATATCAACAGATAAACACATGCCACTGACTCTCTGATGTTTCTCCAGCACTGTTACATTATTATAACCGAGCTTACACAGCGCATAAGCAGCTGATAATCCACTAGGACCACCTCCTACTATTGCGATTCTCGTGTTCACAGGGAAGCCTGGATGAAGCTTGGAAAATTGATCCTCAGGGTTCATTTGTGCAGCCATCCTGATGATATTGCCTGATGGGATCAAATTAAACTTTTAGCATCAACATTCTGGTACTATGGTTTTCTTGGATACACCAAAGAATGACTAAAAAGTGTAAGAAGATTCAGTCAGTTATTCAGGGAGTTTTAGAACTGCATCTGGACAAAAAACTCAACGGTGATAACAATGAGCCTAATCAAATTATGTGTTCCTAGCATTAACATATTCTTCCTTTGATTCATTCTGCGAGCTTTCTGTTTGATATACAGGAATTGGACGGCCCTTTACAGGATTAGAGAAGACGGTGTTGTCGAATAATGTGTACCAAACATGAAAATCCCGACCCTAGCGATTCATTTTCGTGGAATTTTCAAGAACATAATTGTACCTTTTGGATGAACAAATTTTACGCCGTGGCTGCCTTACTTGGCACCTGCAATATAAGCTCTCTGTTTATGCATGGCCACCAGAAAGTTGGTTCATTAGTCTATAACTGAATTAATTCATCACAAAGGCTAGCAAAAAATAAAATCTGATAAATTAGAATTGACATAAATTAAGAAACCGAGTCGTAATTACTAAATTAAGTGATAGAATAATAGAGAGCACGTAAACAAAATTATAATTAACTTAAAATAATCAATTAACCTGAAAGGTGATATGAGCAAAAATTCTTCTGATAGGCAACTGAAAAATGAAGTGCCAAATGGCAGCAAAAAGGATAAGTATATTTTTATGATGACCGAAGCTCCACAAATGGGGCAATTGCTCATTTCATATGAGAATTTTGACAATAGAGATGCTTTTATAGTTCAAAGGGTACGTGACAAAATGATTTAGTAATCATATGATTAGTTTCTTGGTTAATCCGAGGATTTACCATATGGTCTGTCTGTTGTTAGGAAATATTCCTTTTATGTGCTTTGAAGAACAAGATCATGTCACGGGCATGCTTCATTGGGATTTTTGTTTACCGGTTATTGGTGTTTTTTAACCGGCATTTATGAGGGGTCTGTTTTTAATAACGATTTTTAAAATAGTAAAAACTCATGCTTGAAAGTTTATTATTCGACGGTTCTAAATTTTTTTTTAAAAGAATAAATTTAAATATATGCATTAGAAAGGGTAAAATTGGAAGAAAATTTGAAAATAATTGTCCAAGCTTTCGCTCTTTTTCAGAATATAATTGTAAATTATTTTTTAGATCGGATAAAATTAGAAGAAAAAAAAAAATTAATTTGGTGGATTGAAAAATACAACCAAAATTACACTATTTGATTTTGGATGATTTTTTCAAAAAACTAACAAATACTAATTTTCCTAACATCTCATAAGCAGTGTACCAAAAACAGCCAAAACCAGTAAAAAACTGGCGAGCAGACACGAAGTCATCAATGTGGATTTAAGAGCATGTTTGGCTAAGTTTAAAAATAACTAAATCACTTATTTTGAATTTCTCCATGAAACATACTTCTCTCATCATTAATAACACTAGCCCGGGGAGACCTCAACGAAATTATAATTAATTCTACCTCCTATTTTAACTAAAAGTAGCACTTTCATTGAAAAAGATCGCCGTGAATTGCGGTCGAAAGAAAAATAGGCATGCAAATATTCCAACTAATAACGTTAAGAACTAACTCAAAAGTATGAGATGCAGGTTTGTGAGCCACTTTATTCCCTTCATGAGAAACAAAACGACAAGTGTCACAACCCACGTCTCCAAGTACATCTACATTTGGAGCTAAGCTATTGGGCTGCTAAGGCTTTGAACCATACGTAAGGAATCACATTTGGCCATGTAAATACGAAGGAAGGGACGTTTGTTGTGCTAAAAGTATCCCCTCATGGAGCACAAGTAATTAAATAATGCTATAGAGCACCATTTTAGTTGATTACACTTGATAAGTTCAGTTAAATGAATCACACGACATTGCATTTAAGTAAATTTATCATTTAATACCATGCTATTGTCACCTAAATTGATACTGACACCATTAGGACACCTCCATTAAAAAAACCCCACAATCCTCCTTGCTTAGGTAACCAACACCACTCCCTCCTATTTTTTATGAAGAGAATGATTTATCCATTAAAAATATTAATTATTTTATAGTTTACTCATTGCTTGTAAGTAAATTGACTTATAACTTTTTAAGGTTAGCCAAACATGGTTCAGGGAACAGAATCTTGGATACAATGTGGCGTTATAAACAATTAAAATACTTTGGTTTTGGTGGGTTAATTTGTTTTGGATATTGGCCGTCTGTGGGTCATTCTTGATCTCAACTTCAGTTTGCCTCCATTCTTTACATAGCTGTGATTAGTTAATCCCTACACTTTGTTTGATCCTCCCCTTAATTTTCACCTTTTGTTGTTATTATATAACGATTTAATAATATTCCGCATCACTCGTGAAAAGCCCATCTTTTGGAGGGTTAATTACCTCAATAGTTACTTAACTTTATCGAAAGTTTCCACCAGATCACTGAATTTTAAAAACTACGTGGTTAGTCACTGAACTTTGAAACTACAATCCCATCCATCACCGAACTTTAAAAATCACCATTTTCATCACTGAACTTTGCAAAAAGTTTCCTTATTTGGGTAACTTTTTTGCAAAGTTCAGTGATTCCGTAGAAATCTTTTGTAAAGTTCAGTAACTAATGGGGTGATTTTTAAAGTTCAGTGATGGATGAGGTTGCAATTTCGAAAGTTCAGTGACTAACCACGTAGTTTTTAAAGTTCAGTGACCTGGTGGAAACTTTCGATAAAGTTCAGTGACAATTGGAGTAATTAACACTCTTTTGGGTTTATAAGAACTTTTGACACCCTCAATTACAAGATGAGTTTTAAGTGTACAGAGTCATCCAACTGGAAAAATGGAACGTTGTGGACGTCGACTTTGAAGAGCAATGTAATATAATGATTTAATTGTATCTCACGTCGCTCGTGAAATTACAAGTTGATTTTAAAGATGACTTCTACCCATTGTATTATTTTTTTTCTTGTTTTTTTTTTAATGAGAGTAGGTGGCAGGGGATCTGCCGGGCAGATGGAGACATTAGGTTCCTTTTTAGTATTTTAACTTTGTTTTGTATTGAGAGGGGATAGGGTGATACAAGGAACAAATGGAACAACAAGAACACAAACCTACGCCCTTCATGGATAAAACCAATAAGAAAAGCCAAAAAAGAAGTTTTAAGAAGAAAAGGGTGTGTTCCCTTCTCCCATAAAGAATACAAGTACTTATACAAGATGAATAAATTAACAATTGCCGTTGTTTGGACAGTATAATAAACAAAATTTTACCCATTACATATCAAGGAAGCAGTAAAGAAAAAATGAATGGAAGGAAAAGGAAGAACTGATTTATTACGATTATGCAGTTACATATGCGAGAAATCTTCAACCCCAAAAATGCTAGTCGATCTAGAAGGCTCAACTCGTGTCAAAATCATGCATCCGAATAAGAGTGAAGAGTTTTTTCTTCCAAAGGACAGAAGAAATTTGGGTGCAGCCGATGCAGAAATTAGGACGCTTTCTTCAAAAGGACAAATGAAAATAAAAGCAAAATCGTGGTACTTCTCAAACAATGTGAAATCCACCAAGTAAAACTCTTATCAAGATTTTTACTGTAATAAACCGAATCATAACCTGCTGTAGATATAGATTTAGGCAGTGACAAATAATAGCATCTGCAGATAGCAAAGATATATAATGATTCATCAAGTTAATAGTTAAACTGAAGAATCCTAAACTTGCAGATTCTAGATGCATCTTTAGTTATCAGCAAGAAAAATATAGCATTCACAAAAATCCAAAAGAAAAAATTCCAATCTCTTTTCCATTTTTTTTTTTGGGTGATGTAGGGAGATGCAACAAAGTTTCTCGAAAGCTATGGCTGATAGAAGAGGCACAACCAAGATCAGGGACAAGAATCCAACCCAAGCATTATTCATTTGGGGCCAGCCCCCTTTCGAAATAAAAGACCATGTTCAGTGACACTCTGCATCACTTCGATTACTTGAGAAATGAAGAAACAATAACCCACAATAACTAGAGATCAAGGAATTATGTGATATAATAGAATTGCCGAAAATGTTAGAAAGACGGTCATATGAGCATCAAAAACATCACTTTTGCCAAAGGTTACCAATATCTCACACATTATGGAAACATTGAAGATCGTACGAAGTTTGATCCACTCGAATCTTCCAACAATAAAAACAAGTTCAAGTTAAGATCACCAAAAATGGGAATGACTAGACTTCACTTCCGCTATCAAGTGCTGTTATAGGTATAAGTTATATCGCAGAAGCCAATCACCAGTTCAGTTGTAATCAACACCTGCTTCAGGAGCTCGACAAGGTTTGTTTTTTCGTCTATTCCCATTGCGACGAAATCCATTCGATTTGTTCGACTCCTCCGTGCTCGATGTGGTTCCATTTCCATTTTTCTCTTTCACGGAATCAACTTTCTCCTTCACCTGAGAATTTCGTTTTCTTTTCTTCCTATACTGTGATGCAGTCGAACTTTTTGTTTCATTGCCCAATACATTATTTGTTGTGTCCTCACTCTCTTCATTTTCTATATTCTCAGCTTCTTCTTCGTCTATGTCATCGATAAGTGATTTCTGAGGCCTCCCCCTTCTCTTCTGTGCACGAGTTTTTTCTTCCTCAGCACTTCCTGGATCATCTTGGTTAATGACAGCCAGCTTCTTTCCCTTTGCTCTAATCCTACCCATAATCTTGAACTCCACAAATATCACCCAAGTAATATATATTTCTGGCAAACAAAAAAAAGAAAAAAGAAAAAGAAAAAATAGCCACTAATCAAATGTCGCTTGGGTCGATACAGATTTATAAAAGACTAAAATTCAAGCACCATATTTCATAAAAGACAGAACAAACACATTACAAGGAAAACTAACGCCCAAGATCCTCATAAGCCTAAGCATTAGTACAGTGAATCAATATGAAACAACAATTTACACAATTGCAACATTAAATATACATCTTTTGAGCGCCTGTAAATCAATAAGGTCTTGCAAGTAACATATAAACAATGTAAAACTGAGGAGCAAATATTATCATATCGATAAACTTAACTTACAAAATGACACTTCGAATATTAACATCTTGTGGAGGAAAAATTCTTACTATGAAAATTGCATATATGGTAAGAAACACTAGGCAAAATTTAGAAAATAGATAACTAGAAAGAAATTTTCAGGCACAGAAACCAAGAGAATTTTAAACATAGAATATTCATCTATCCATTTTCAACAAATGAAATTTTCAAGTAGAAAGGTTGCAATCTGTCAATATTCTTTAAAACTACAACTCATGTTCAGTTCAACTAGTCAATCAAAGGAACAAGAATCCAATATACCAAATATTTCGGCAAACGCAATTTGTGAATGCAGCTATTAATTAATATGATGCATGATGAAATAATGGCAGCTTAAATCGATAAAACGGTGGTTAATATTTACATAAAATCATCGCTAAATATGCTAAAAAGTTGCATTTGAGGATTTATGTTAAGGCATCCTCATTTAGCACAAACAAGCAACTAAAACCGCTTTAGTTGAGAGTACTTCCAACTATTTCGCCTCTTCCACAAAACAAAATAAGATTAAAAAAAACTCCATAAATATCTGATCAAGGAGCAGTGCTCTCACACTTCTAATTATAATTTGTTGAATAAATCCCATTTGTAAACTTAGAAGGCATGTTTGGTGCATAGTATTATAAATTGCAAAACCAAATAATACAGAATTTAACCTTTTCTTCTGTCGAATGCATTTCAATCCAACTTGCCAAACATACCATGAGTGTTAACTTTTATATACGATTCACTACACACAGAGACACAAGCTCACGAGCACCAGAGGCACTCACATACACTGAGAAGAGAGAAATACAAAATCAAGAATGAAGAAACTAAAGGTAAGCTCTACTTTTTATAAAACAGGCAGAAGAATTCTTACTAGTCATAACCATACAACAACTAATTAAACAAATCAAATAAAAATTAGATCTGTAGATTAATAAAACTACATATAGCCATACAATTCCAGTTACTGAAATCTTCCGCTTTAGAGAACCAAATAACAGTACAAAACCACAGATCAATAGGGTGGGAAAAATGAATTGAACTCACCAAGAGAGAGCCATTAGAGGACTCATTACAGTGAATATGTTAAACCATGTGATAAATAGAATCCCAAAAAACCACCAAGGCCTAGAAGAAATTTTCAATTTAAGATTAATTTAAGAAGCTAAGGAAGTAAATTTTTGAACAAAAAAATGTGGTCTTTGAAACAACTGCATAGAGCCCAGATCAAGAAAGTTGAGAACTTGAACAGTGATTCAAGAAGATCAAGGATTGACCATTTCCTGATGGAACAAGCGGCCCATCAGCACACCATAAATGGGCAAAACACACAGATGTTTGTGATTGGGTTTTGTAGATTGCAAGTGTAGTTTCAACTCTCAAGTCTGTATGTATGTTTGCTTGTGTTTGCGAGTTTATGCGAGAGAGAAAAGTCGAGGTCAGGGTAATTTTGAACAGACAAGAAATTTAAGTTAAAAAATAAAATTTTAGATTCTTTTAAATGGAAATTTTAATTTTCATTGTACATGACTGCGTTGTACAGAAATGATCTGTTAGGTGAGATAAAAAACTGTTTTGAGATGGCAACATCACGTCAACGGTTAAGCCTACAATTTTTGACAATTTCCTATCCATGTTAGGTAAGATAAAACATGTTCACAATGGAGGTGACAACATCACGTCAACGGTCAAGCCTAAAATTTTTAACAATTTCAACGATTGAATTGTCAAAAATTGTAAGTTTAACCGTTGACATGATGTTGCTGCTCAACGATAACGCACGCTCAATGGGTAAGATAACTCCTACCTATCATGGGTGAGTAGGAGATCATTTCTACTATATTGTACTTACCTGTAGTCCACTTAACTTGGCAACTCTATTTGATCAATTGGAGTAAATATATCAGCTGTTACCGAATGTTTAGCAAAATATCAATTGAGTCGCTAAACTTCAAATTAATTTCTTTCCAATCTTAATGCGTATTTTAGGAAAGATTATTAGGATATCTTTTATGAAACATTTCTTTCTGAGAACAGAATATTTGAAACCGTATTTAAAGGGATCTTATGTTTTATAATGGAACAAGCTTTGCGACATGAAATAAAGATTAATATTTTCTCCTCAGTTTCTCTTCCGTCTCTCTAATTCTTCTCAACATTCTCCCTCCTTCTCACTTCCCCTCTTCTATTGCTCCCCCCTTTTCCCTTCTCTTATAATTCTGCCGTAGCATCCTGCATCACATACCCTTATTCCGGTGGTGGTTCTTGATTGATCTGGCTTCAAAGGCTTCACTTAGCCAAAGTCAGTTATTTTTCCAGGGAAGGATTCATCTAAAAGTACGTTTTGAGGCTTGATGTTACGGTGTATGATTTGGTTGTTTCATTCTTCATGCAAACAGCAAAGGAAATCTGCATTCTTTTGCACCAGTTGCGCCTTGAATTTTCAGAGTTTGCTAGAGAGCCATCACTCATGTATTCATATACCAAATGCCGATTTTGGCCCTCATCACAATATCCCAGTATTGAATTAGATTTTTGTGATTAGTCCTGCTAATTGAGCTTACTTCTGCTTTAAATTCTTGCTCACCTTCTATAGCCATCTTATGCAGTTTTTTTTGCAGCAACTTTGTTAGATTATAGACCTTTGATTTCACCAA